TGTATAGCCCCTTTAGCAAACTAGCTACTTCACTATCAGTATCGGTAAAATTTTGAGTTTATAAGCTCAGATATGCTCACATTTCTAGCTAGCTAGCTAGCAAGCGCATATTTTACTTCAGACCTTCTGCTAAATAGGTTCCTAGCAACCTTAATAACATGAGGCAAGGCAAGTTTACTTCTACAACATCTCTATATTCCCCTTGCTTTTAACCAGCTACATGTAGTTTATTTTATCCTTAATTTGCAACTATTAGAGTGATTTCACACCCTAGAGGGGGCATATTACCCCAGTGGAAAATGCCTTATCCCTAAAAAATACAATTGATTAAATACAAATTAATTTGTCAACTGTAGCTATGTTACGCCCCTTTGGTGGCAACATGGGGCGAACAGCACCCCAACACTGACCCAAACTTAACACACAAACACCTTTAGCCCCTTAATGGCTCAATTTTTTTACAATCAAAAAAACAAACAATAAATTGTGTTTTCATTTGCTTCAAGGGGTTAAAACAACTAAATCAAGGGGATTTATTAACATAAGACAATAAATTAAGAACACCAAAAACACAACATAACACAAAAATGCCCCAGCTGAGAGGCAGCAAGACCAGCAGTCCCAAATCAAGAAGCCTCCTTTCTGATGCCTTCACAGGAGCTTTTAAAGCCCGCCTTCCAAGGCCAGGTGGACCTTGTTCAGCAATCAGCTGAAGTACTTCAGAGGCAGAAGCCGGGCAGAAAACATGGAGAAAGCACAGAGAAACACATACAGTTGTAACAAGCTATTTATTTTACTTTATAATATGTTACCCTAAGCGTAGCCTTGTTAAAGATACACAAAAAAATCAATCAATCAACATTTATTTCTAAAGCGCTTTACAACAACCGTCAGGTATCCAAAGTGCGTCACATCATAGAATATAATAAAACAGCATATCATACAATAGATACTAAAAATAAAAAATATAAGAAAAGTTAAAAAGAAACAAGAAAAAGGAAATTGTCACACCACTACTGCGTATTAAAAGCCAGTCTAAACAGGTGGGTTTTAAGTTTAGTCCTAAAAATAGTTTAATCTGCAATTGTGCGAATATCAGGGGGTAGCTTGTTCCAGAGTCTCGGAGCAGCAACTGCAAACGCCTGATCACCCCATCGCTTATACTTCGACCTTGGGATTTCTAAAACCAATTGGTTTGAAGACCGTAACGACCGGCTGTGCTCACGCAAGGTTAAAATCTCAATTAAGTACTCCGGGGCCAGGCCATTTAGGGCCTTAAAAACGAACAGCAAAATCTTTTTTCATCAAAAAATTTATTCTATACAGCACTGGGAGCCAATGTAAAGTGTAGAGGACGGGAGTGATGTGAGCACGCCTAGATGTATTTGTTAAAAACCGAGCAGCAGCATTTTGCACAAGTTGAAGTCGTGAGATGAAGCTTTGATTTAAACCAACATAAAGAGCATTACAATAATCCAACCTCGAACTAATAAAGGCATGAATCACTTTTTCTAGGTCATGCCTGTTTAGAAAAGGCTTAACTTTAGATAGAAGACTAAGCTGGAAAAAATTCATTTTGACAACATTACTGATTTGCATGTCAAATTTCATGTTGCAATCAAAAGTAACCCCCAAATTTCTAACAGCAGGCTTAAGGTATGGAGCCAGAGCCCCCAAATTCACCGCTGAACCATTTGGGTTACCGAAGATGATGCACTCAATTTTAGCTTTGTTTAAATTAAGAAAATGTTGCGACAACCACAACTTAATATCATTAATACAACTAAGTAAGGAGTCTAGAGCGACACTAACATTCGGTTTTAAAGGCAAATAAATCTGCAAATCATCGGCATAACAGTGAAAGGACAGGTTGTGCTTTCCTATAATAATCCCTAACGGCAACAACGAAAACAAGATTGGGCCAAGAATTGAACCCTGGGGTACCCCACAAGAAAGAAATCAATAAAAATATTCTTTAATGTGTCAGAAAATAGATATTGAGCTTAGGGAGAGCATCTTACCCCAGTAGCTGGGGAAAATGCCTTTCTCCTAAAACTCACTTTTAATTAAATTAAAATTAATTTGTCAACTGTAGGTAGGCTACTTATTTTACTTTATATTAGCCTATGTTACGCTAAGCATGGTCATCTCAAAGATACAAAAAAACCTTTCAAATATTATTTTCATGTGTCAGCAAATACACTGAGCTTAGAGGGGGTATCTTACCCCAAACTGCCCTATTCAGTTATAGGTCAACAGATTTACCGGTGTTCCTGCTTTCACCACTCAACCCTTTAGAGGGTGAGATATTTAGTTTGCTTGCAACAAAATCACAAACACTGGCAGCAGCTTGACGTTACTCCAGAAACCGACGTAGTTCTGAGACGTCAAATCAAAGTCTAAGACCCAGTTTCCACCAAAATAACAGGAAATTCATTATCAAGAAAAAACCAAATGGTCGGAGCACTGGGAGCACCTCGTTTATTCATGCTTTTGAAGGAGCCCTGTCAGGATGTTTAGGAAACTGTGTTTAACTAACAAACACACTGATGCTGCTCAGACAGATTTTTAGAGAGGAGCGTCCTGTTTATCATCTAGACAAACTCATCATTCACTTCAGAGATCTGCTCACACAACTCCCGTTAAACTCCTGACAGAGACGCAGCTTTGCAAAACACTGGATTCAAATTCACCGGCTGGTCACTGAATGAGGAAAAAAGATTATTAATGGATGTTTGTTTTGAAACACAATTTTATTTTCTTTGTGTTGAATGAGCATCACTTAGAGCTGCTGGGAAAAGAAAGGTTTGTCTCTGTCTATGTTAATTTATGAGGAAAAAATAAACTGACCAGAGCTGTTTTTCTGCCCTGAACAGATGATGATGGTCTGATGAGAAATAAACTAATAAAAATACACTAACACAGATTTTTTCTATGGAACTTCCACCTGACGTGGACAAAAGTGAAGTTGTGCAGTTTGTTAAATAATTGTTGCATTTATGTTTTCCTACTTTGTCGTCGAGTGTTGTGTATTAGAGAAATGCAGAGCACAGGTTACATCAACAGTTTAAATTAGACAAATCAAAGTACTGTTGTCAACAGCAAAAGCAGTACTTTTTTAATCAGGTAGTTGTACTAGAGATAAATATGACAATGCTGCCTCTCTGTGGACTTAATGAAGACTTACACTTGTAAAACAGCCTTAGATTCAACACGCTCAGATTTTCTTCTTTGTCTTCCCATTTTTTTTCTTCTGCTGCTGCTCTTTAACTTCTGTCTGTTATAATATCTACTTTTCAAACTGAGCGCTACATTTCTGCTTCTGACGCATCAGGCATTAGTGTAAAGATGGAAACAGACCTCACACAGTAACATTGGATAAAGTGTTCTCTGTACTCATAAAGTGGCAGTTAAAACAAATATCAGAGAAGCCCAAACAACAGGCAATTTTAGATTAGTTAGTAGTTTAAGCAAAGTGACCAAGTATAACAGAAACACACAAGAGATTATCATCAGCTAGAGGAACCAGCAATGTCTTAGTACAGAGGAAATGAATGACAAGAGATGTTTCTGTTAGGAGTTAAGGCTTCTGTTGCCCTGTGTGTCAAAATAAGACGATTTCTTGCAGTGGTTTTGTTTTGATTGTCAACTAACCCGAAATGGGTTTTAACCTCTGTGCTTTTGACCAAACACATTTCCACTGAAATATAAAGTCTATAAAATTTTTACTTTTCAGTTTTTATGCAGATTTAACAAATGAAATAACGTGATGATTCACTCCTAAACTGCACCACAGAGCGCCACAGGAGGTTATTCCTGCCTATTAAACTCTTTAACCCCTCCCTCAGAGAGTCAGACTGAGAAACAGGACCTTTGGAATTTTACTTGTTAATGTTCTGGCTTTATTCTCTCCTAGGGCTGGGCAATAAAACAATAATGATACTTATCGCAATATAATTTTCCTCAATAACAATATAACAAATGTTCAATAAATGTTTGATTTAATCCATTTGAATCACGAACAATTCGGACTGAAAAAAGACTTTATTATAATAGTTTTGAATGTTCTACCTCAGATTTGTGAAGTGATCCACTGTTTGGCATCATGTGTTTTTTCTGACCATAAAGAAAAGTTTAAAACTACAATCAACCATCTGGTTTCTTTAAATTTCACTCAGGAGCAAAAATCAGCCTTTTAACTTGAAAGAAATAATGATTTGATATTTATCCTGATAATTATCAATATCAAATTATATGAAATTTTTTATTGTAAGATTTTTGGCCAAATACAGCATTTCTTTAAGGTTTTAAATCCATTACAGCTCTCAACATTATCAGTACTCATTTCTATTTATTCATCGCGTCTGTCACGTACTGTTCATAATTTCACAAACTTCTATTTTATATATTTATATTTCTTTGATATTTCTTTTATGCCTTGTTATGTGAGCAACTGTAATGAAACAAATTAAAATAAATATTTCTGATTCTGATAGTCAGTGAGCTTTAAATTTTTTGGATTTAGCTTTTTGGACAGAGCCAGGCTTTGGAGTGAAATGTCTCCAGAGGGGGGCAGTATAGGGACTGTTGAAGTCTTCCTCATTGATACAAAATGAGCAGAAATGAGCAACTGTATTTAGTAAAAATTACATGGATAATATTAGTGTGTAATGTGTGTAAACAGAAAAAGGACAGCTCTTTGAGTACTTTGCATCAGTGGTGGAATGTAACTAAATATATTTATTCAGCTGCTGTACTAACGTGTGTTTGTACAAATTTGAGGTATTTTACTGGCGCATTCTCAATTTATGGCACTTTATACTTCTACTTAACTACATTTCAGAGGCAAATATTTTATTTGTTACTCCTACATTTATCTGCGTTACTTTACAGATTAAAACAAGAAAAGTAAAAGTTGTATAAATGTACATATCACAACTCACGAACTCTCAGATTTTATCAGACTTATTTATTGGAGAAGTCAATAAATAATAAACAGGTTCATGTTTGATACACATTAAACTTTATTAAACTCACAGAAAACTCTTAGACATCAGAAATTAGAGATCTTGTATATTCATCTTATTTAAAGATAGAAAAGTGTCTGCTTAAATAAAATAGATCTTAAATAAATGTTTAATAAATAATAAACATGTTAAGTGACACTTCCGTTTATGGGCAGCTATTTTCTAATAATTTCCTTGTAAGTTCCCTGGAAAGAACAATGTAATTTCATACTAATTACATGAAAAAAAACAGTTTTAATTGGAGCAGTTGTAATTGATCACCTGTTTAACCTGAACAATATTTTAGTCTGTGCACAGCAGGACAAACAACATATCAATTAAAGTGTTTGGCAAAAAAAAGTTTCTGATAAATGAATCAATGCAGATATAGGAGAATGGATATTCCTATTTTTTTTTAACCAAATTACTTAATTTCTTTCCAGGAAACCTTCAATGAAAGGGTTAGAAAATTGCAGACCTGTAAAAAGCAAAAAGGTTAAAGTTTTATTTCATGGGTCTATAATTTTTGAATAATTTCCTAATTAATTATTTACAAAATCTCCTCGAAAGAACAGTTTAATTTGTTACTCATTACAGGGAAAATGCTGTTCACTTGGTGTGCTTATTAATAATTCATTCAAATGAATTGCTAAAGTAAAAGTCTTTCAGTCAGAACTGAACATTATGAACATTTACTTTAGTTTAAACAGAACATTTCTTTAAAAGGAAACTCCTATTTTTCCTTATAATTAGAATCAAATTATAGAATTCTTTCCAAGAAATATGAATGAAATTATAGACCCATAAAATAAAATCTTACCACAGACAGCGTTACCTGGATGATGGGACAAGATGTAAAGGAACAATCCGACATTTTGTTTTTTACCCAAATTCAGATTAGAAGGCGTGAATCCGTTGTTACAAAGGCTAGCAGTTTCCTCCTGCTCCAGTTGTTGTCATGCTGAGAATCTCTTGTACTGGACACAGAGATGAAACTGATATTATCCATCTGATTTGGGGTAAAGATGGAAAACAGGAAGGGTTCGGAGTGTCCTTTTTTTTGATGTGAGCAAATTCAGCTGAAGGTGAAAAGAAATAATTTAATGACATTGAGGTTTAAGTGTCAAAGGTGATATTCTACATGTTACTACTTATCAATAAATCCCCATGAACAAAAGCAAAAGTGAATGTATCTCCTAATAACTCCGGTGTGTGTGTGTGTGTGTGTATCACAGCCTGATCTTTCTTCTTTCTGTGCCAGAATCCCACATATACCTTCCTGCTGCCCCAATTACTCGCTCACCAAATGTGGATTCATCCGCCGCTGAAAATAGTCCAACAAATGCACTGTGTGCTCCTGTTTTGCTTCAATAATTTTTCAAACCAAAATGCCAAATATTTAGCAGCGGCAGCTTTTCAAATATGATGTTTTGCTGCTTTTCCCCGTTTTGTATCACTGTAAATTGAAATGAGAGCCTCAGACAGGAAGTATTGAAAGACGGGCTAATGTTTAACTATGCTAGACGCACCAGCTTGCCGAAAAATAACAGACTAAGAGAAACATAAAACGCGGAAATGTGCCGGTGGACAGAAGGGAAGAAGTGAAGCTGATTAATAAAACTAAACTTTCATTTGGTATCATTCCTTATAATTCTTTATAGTTTACGAGAGACAACCCTGTGGCAGCTGTCTCCAATTAATGGGGCCAATTTGGGTTAAACGCATGTTCGTCTTACATGTACCTGCTGTATAAAGGGGTGTCATGGTGAGAACAGACTGCGTGTCTCAGCTGAGGTAGGTGAGGACAGACTGGGTGTCTCAGCTGAGGTAGGTGAGGACGACAGACTGGATTGGCAGCCTGCAGACCGGACACAGCTTGTTCCTCTTTTTCAGCTTCCTAGCGCAGACGTAGCAGGACATTAGGTGTCCGGTTCGTCCGTGGACGATGCAGCCGTTCTTCGGCCGGGACTGACATATCAGACAGGGGTCCAGGCATGAGTCCGGGAGCCGCCACTCCGCCGACACGCTGCGTTCCAGCTCGGGGACCACAGTAGGAGGAAGAGGTGGTGGAGGATGGTCAGTGGGGGTACATGGGAGAAGCTCCTGGGAGTCAGTGGAGGAGGAGGAGGAGGGCTGGGATTCAGAAGTCCAGACTTTGAGCTGGGAGGAGGAGGAAGGCTGGGAGGATGAGAGGAGATCCTGGGAGTTGGGAGCAGAGGAGGCGGAGTCAGGAGCAGAAAGAGTGGAGTCTGAGAGGCACTGCGACGGGAGGGAAGGAGTTTTCGCTGTTTTTCCATCTGGAACATCGACTCCGTCATTCTCTTCAACATCAGAACCTGCAGGGGACACAACAAACAAGCCAACCAATCAATCATCAATAGCAAAAGTGCTGGTTATGAGTCGCAAAAACAGAGAGACAAAAAATAAATTGTTATAACTTTTTCACAGTGGAACAAACGTGCATTAGGTTTTAAATCTGTCACCATACTAATATGGATTTTCTTTACCAATATTTCTATGTCTCTCCAGATAACAAACATGCATAATCGCTTAACATGATCAAAATATAATAATCAAAATCTGTGTTCCACTGTTATGTGCTTTCTCATGTCTAAAACAAACATTTCAAAACTTATTTTGGTAGCTTTTAATGAGAAGTCCTCAAATAAAAGCTACACACAGACACTTCACTTTGAGACTGAAAAACATCCAAGTCAAGATATGAGCCTGATAGCAATCAACAGGCAGGACTTAGTGAACGTCTGGCGCTAATAACTACCGGTTGCTTCTTTGGCCGCTGATTGGTCGGTTGGCTTAGGGGGCAGGGCTTTCGGACTGGAGGAGGCGGATTTCATTAGATCGAAGGACAGGTCAGGCAGCCAATCCTGCCGCAGTGTCCAGCAGCGGAGACAGTTTCTGGGGAGAGGGGGGTTCAACTCGTCACACTTCGCACACCGCCAGTAGTCCTGAGAGAGAAACACACACACACACACACAGTTAGACTTATACAACAAGACTGTGTGTGTTTTATGTGTGTGTTTGCTTGTAGACTCACAGCTTCAGTGATCTCTGTGTCTTCATCAAAGGAGTCTTCATCCTCTGCCTCAAAGATGGTGACCTCATATACCTGGACACAGACAGACAGGTAAGAAGAGGGGCTTGGGTTTAGGTACAGATTCACCGAAGTGATTTATTTATTTTGGCTGGGAAAGTCATGAAAACATCTTTGGTCTTTTCATGCGATTTGTTGATAATCAGAATATTACCAGATTTATCCTTCAGTAGTCGGGGTGTTTACCTGGTCATCTGCAGACAGAGAGGCATCGTCTTCATTGTAATCGTCAGACGCGACGGACTCAACCTCAAATTCGACACTGAAGTTGTCGCTATCTGAGTCTGAGGCTGCAACCGTGACCTCTGACCTCCCAGACTAAAACACACACACACACACACTCTGCATTATAAACCAGTACAACAATTCTAGGTTAATAAAAATAAAAGCTTGTGTGTGCTTGTGTAACACTCACCGTGCTTTGCGAGTCGGATGATTGGCTACTGTGTCTGTCCCGCACGCTTCCCAGTCCACCAATCACACACCAGGACAGGCTGTCGTCAAAGGTCAGAGAGTAGCTGTCAGACCTCCTCCTCTTCCTACCTCCTTCTTCCTCTTCCTCCTCTGACTCCCCCTCCTCTTCACCATCCTCTGCACTGTGGGAAGGTCCTGAGGAGATCAGGCGGGTGGAGTTAAAGTCACAACATCACAGGTTTGTTTAGGAGCTCCAATGAGGTGGAAGCACTTCAAGAGGAGAAAACTCACCTGGGTCACTGCTCCGGCGGCTCCTCCTCCTCCTCCTCCCCTTTCTCCTTCTGTCCGGCGATGAAGAGCGACTTTCTGAATCTGCCTCCTAAAAACAGAAACACGTGGAACTCAAATTCTGTCTCCCACTTTGTATTGTTTAAAAAATAATATATAACTCAAACATTCACTCTTTATGAACTTCCTTGTACAGGGAGACGTTCACCAGACTCAAAAATCTGGCAAGTTTTGTGTTCTCAAAATAGAAACAGATCCTAAAACTAGAGCTGTAACCTCTACAGGTATGAACAGGGTCCAAGCGGAGGCGATGCCAGTCGGAGCAGCAATCCCATGAGCAAGTGAAAAGCAGATTGGCAAACATTCAATTTAAAAAGAATAGTTTGAATGAAGCACAGTGCTTCAGTTCGGACACTTTCGGACTTCCTTTGCATGAGTACATGATTTTCCTTCACATTTTTTGGGGTATCAATTCTTTCAGTAACGCTTGATCGCGATTCTATGCGCAGATGGACTCACCGCCTAGGAGGAGTTTGAAAAAGCAGGTTTCACACATTTCAGCTGAAATAGGCGAGGCCTGTATCGCGAGACGCAGCTCAATTCAAGGAATGCGTGTATATAAAGTGTTTGAATGTGAACATACTATGTGGGGGTTGCTGACCAAAATGTACGTGCTTGCTTGATTATAGCACCACCTGCTGGTGGACACAGGTCTAGTTTGCATTGAGGTGTGTGCAGCAGTCTACACCTCCCCTGTAAATTTCACTCAACCTTTATGTTGTAGGCTGCAGTTTAACTTTTACCAACAGTAAAATAAAGGACAATTACTAACAAACGCTGCGTTGGATTACTCCCAGCAGCACTAATTACATCTGTTAAGCTCCGTAAAATACTTCAACATCAACATTTCACAGCTATATTGTGTGTCTTACCTCCGTCCCTCTTTCTGCCTGACTGTTACTGTGTGGTTGACTCGAGCATGGCGACGACTCTAAGGAAAATAGAGTAAAATGGGTTAGTTTTGTCGGAATCTGAGCAACAGGTAGGAAAGAGGGAAATGGGAGGAATTTTTTCTTGAACAAAGGAGGAGAACGAGCAGTCCTACCTTGGCTCTTTACAGCCACCAGGTTCTTAGTGATCATAGCAAAGAGAACTCTGAAACAAACATATTTTAATTACCTCACTGGAAAAACCTTCAACATTCTATGCATATTGTGGCATTATACTATATTTTATGTTAATGTTATACTGCTTCATTACATAATGTACTACATGATATTCTATATAAGATGGTATGTAACTCTTACATATATTTCAGTTTGCTTAAGACTGCACAGCACTATTAAGTACATATTAGTTGTGAGTACTATGTAAATGAGTACTGCTTGCCTTGTAATTTTGAGATTAATTGCTCATGTGTGGTTTCTATTTTTGTATTCTATTCTAATTTAATATAATTTATGTTTTACTTTTCTCCATTCATCTGTACTTATTCTGCCCTTGTGCTGCTGCAACACCTGGGTTTACCCTCTGGGGACCAATAAAAGGATTGTATTATCTTATTTTTTTATTTTTTTTTATTGTAAGTAGAAAATATTACGCTTTAAATTACTGACAGAAACTCTGAGTCGGTTGATGTCGTTAATGTAATTGCAGAGCACTACCGAGCAGACTGTGACAACAAATCGTGTGCGTATCTCTCACCGTGGCTCTTTGACAGAGAAGCTGTCGACTCCCAGCACCCGCCCCAGTGCATCCTGGGAGCAGTGGACTATGTGCTGCTGCTTCTGATCATACAGTTGCTTTTGGATGATGTACTGGCCCAGGTAGAACATCACCTGCAGGAAGACAAACACAGATGCGCGATGGAAGAAATGCAAATACCCAGACTGAACAGACAACTGCCAGTTGGACTCACGACACCCCATCATGCTAAATGAGCTAAAGCGAAGTATTTTTCCATACAGATAAAACGCCAAACAAGTTCTGCCCGTACCTCCTTCATGGTGAAAACATCTTTTGTGGCTCCTGCGTGATGGAGCAAAGAACAAAACTCTAACTTTGGTCTGACCTGAACACACAAACAGGAAAATGTTTAGTCAAACACGAACTTCACAGTCAGCGAACAGCCACTAAAGTCAGTAACTAGTAGTTTCTCTCACCAGTTCGTTGTCGTCAGCGCCGTCTGTGTTGAGCTCCCTGTTAGCGGACATCTTGAAGCTGAAAGTTTCTGCACACAAACAGGTTATTAATGGTTAGACTGATTTATTTATTTATATCACAATCCCACTGTCTGAATGATGGAAAACCAGTAGGGACGACATTATTTCCAGTAATTCCAAATAGTGTAGAATAATAATCCTTAATGATTAGGGTCGGGTGCCAATATGGAACTGGACCCTATATCACCAATATCTACTGGACCGAATTAAAATGCAATATTTTGGTGCCACTTAAATGTGTCCACTGAAATATTCCCCCGCTGGTGCTCCGAAACGGACGTAAGAAGCGTCACCACCATTCACCAAACCTGGCTCAACAGCGAGCTACACGTGTTAACTTCAACGCTCTGCCAATCACAGGTAGGAAAATAAATGACACATATCACACATTCGCTGACAGCCATGACACATTCACTGACTTCCTGGAAACACTGGAGAACACGGTAACTACAACAAACAGCCCCTTTCTGCCTTAATGCAACAGTCATAACACAGTGAAGCTGGTTTTTAAATTAAATTGTGTTTCTGTTAGTACTGTTTTTTATTAAATTACTGTATTTGGATTGTGAATAAGTTTCGTAAATTTGTTGTATTTGAGTATACATTAAACAGTTAATACATTGTTCAACTTTAATCATTTTAAATAGAGAAAACTTCCTCTTCTTTTTTTTTTAGGATCTGTTCAGCACTGTTTTAAAAAGTACTGATTTGTAAAAAAATATCCAAAATACCCGACCCTACTAATGAACTAATCAACGCAACCTGGACCCGGACAAGTTTATTGATGTATTAACCAATGATTTCAGTTTTTGCTAAAATAGACACATGCACATTTTCAGACTATAAGCTTCCTGTAGCAGTAGAGACGGTGATGGTGCCGACTAAAACTCTACAACAGCAAAAAAATTAAAATAACAGGACTGTACGTCCACCACAATCCACACTTTAACTTGTTTGTGATCTCACCGGACAGCCCATGAGTAGTTAATGTTAAAATCCGATGCTGCTGTTAGAACAAGGAGTAAAGTTGTTGGGGTGACCTTTTTAGCAAACTGTTGTCTATTTACACATTCAGCAGAGACACACAGCAACATTGGCAAATATTCAAGTTATATTTCTGGCTACCAAATGAACATAATATTCACCATCATGTTGGCCCTGCTTTGATCTCTACCAACTCAACATCCACTCAGCTCACCAGCTGTCATCAGCCATCAGAGCTTTATTTACTGAAAACCACTTATTAGGTTTACCTTTCAACTTTTACAAGTAACTACAGGCCAAAATAGCTACAACACAAACAAGTCTAATCACCTTTTGTTGGTCTAATCAATGTTAATGTAATTAATGATGATTAAATGTATCAGACACACCCGCAGCCAACTGTACTTCAGCTTATTACTCCAAAGATTGAAGGTCCTGAGACAGAACTTTTAATTGATTAGATTAAAATGTTGATATATGTATATTAAAACACTCAGTGACTTATTAGTTATTTCTAATTATTAGTCAGCCCTGACAGATATAAATGTGGTGGACAAAAGTAAAAACAACAGCATTAAAAACTACAGCTTCCAAAATTACTGTGAAGTAGACTTAAGACTCATCTTTTCAGCCAAGCTTTTTACAAGTTTTATGCTTGTTTTCTCATGGCGAAGTTTCCTAATTTATTATTATTACTATTATTTTGAATGTTGGATTGCTTGCAGCGCTGTTGGAATATAAATAATTAAATTTTAACTACAATAGGTGTACCAAATAAGCTGGAAACTGGGTGTATATTTAATCAGTTAATCAGTAAAAATCATCTTTATAAAGTAAAAATGCTTTTAAAAACCACTGGTTCCTGCTGCTGTGAGTGAACATTTGATTACTTTTAAATTATCTATGATAGTACATTGACTACTGTTGGGATTTGGACTGTTGGTCTGAAAATTTAATTATTAATCTTACTATAACAATAATACAATCCCCATATCGAATAAGTCACAATATGCCAAACAAATTACAAATATAACTATTAAAAGGTTCAGTGCAATGAACTGTTAAAACTGTAATAGTTTTACAAAACTGCAATTTTTGAAACCACTAATTTAAAAAATAACAGAACTCTGTAAAACAACAACTTAGCGCAAATAGTTATCAGGTGAAAGGAGTTACTTGTCTATTATTAACCAGTTTTATTACTAGTATTTAGGCATTCATCTGTGTCTTTGGACATAAATGAAAAGTCTTACCAGTATATACAGAGCAGAAAGTATCAGCTGTCCATCCTGTGCAAGACAAAGCAGATAAAGTGCAGTCAGAGTGGAGCAGAGAGGAGCTGCAGCCTCTTATAGTGCTGCTCAGACATGTCAGGACTAGACCAGACTTGGGCCTGGCCTAGTCTGACTGGGGCCTATCAGGACTGAGTCAGCAGCAGTGTGTTGTACCGTACTGTGCAAATGTTTTAGGCAGGTGTAGGAATACTTTCACAAATAGAATGAATCAACTAAGTGAATGCAAAGTGAGTCAACAGAACAAAACTCTAAATCAAATGAATGCTTCACTTGCACATAGTTTGAGGGAACTCAGGAGGTAGGTTGGCTAAAACATGTCTTGTTAAAAAAGCAATTACTTTTGCATAGTACTGTGTGTTTATGTTCAAACTGACTGTAGCAGCTGATTTAATCACACAGCTCTGTGCAGACATGCCAGGACTAGTCCAGGATGACTCATCACTGTCAAAATTAGATAACCACGCTAACTAGGCTAAAGATAAACATATTAACTAATGGTAACCAGGGCTGAACACTGGATGTGACACTGCTCGGTCTGAGCATGTTTCCACAGCAGGACTGTCTTCTGGCTTTAAGGAAAATTTAATTGGACAGCAGATTAAATTATATTAAGTCCCGCCCACAAACATTTTTACAACATTTAATAATGTTCTCTTTCCTAAATGCCTGCCTGAAAATGTAACTTTTGTTCATAAAGTATCATGACAAAAGATGATGATCTTGAAATGACTTTATTCTCAAAATATTAACATATACTATATCGTTTTTTTTATTGTAATATTATTGTCATGCCTGCCTGGGAATTGATTTCAAACTGTAGACTCACTGTAAAAACTGTGAGAGAAGTGGATTTATAAGCAATCAAATGGACTGAAGAAAAAATACTTCTTTAACGTATGATATCAAAGAGTGAAATACTTGAATCATGAATAAAAATAGGATTCAAATATATGAATATACTCTATCATAAGAAGAACGAAAAGAGGGGAGTAAAAATATTTATAGAATAAGGCTGTGTGATAATAACGACAAGCAAAAGCACCGCAGCCACTTCATTTAAACTCTGCCTAGAAATGTGACAGATGACTTTTGTTCATGAAATACTACGATAAATTTAGAATTACTTTTCTGGAAATGTTGTGACTTTATTCTCAAAATATTACCCCATAGTTTATATCTATGTCATTGTGATAAGCATGTCTTAATTCCCAAAACCTCAGATTGTTTTCCTTAACAGTGGCACTGATAACCCATCCTATTCCAAAACATTAACGTTTTCTCTGCCAGCTTTTTAACACGGTTTTCTTTTATAAAAGCCTGCCTGGAAATGGATTTCAAACTCCAGACTGACAGTAAATTCTGCAAGAGTGAATTACTTTAACTAATAAATCATAAATAAAAAGATGAAATACATGAATATACTTATACAGTAAGGCTGTGTGATACATTTATAAATTACAAGCACAGCAAACATCTCTTCTACCCATTTAAACTGTGGAATCACTAAATGTGATCTTAATCTTCTGTATAAAATGCTCACCAGGCTGGTTAAACACATATTGAAGCTTTGAACTATAAGTGATGTTCAGCTTCTTAAATAATCCACAGTAAAACAGCAAAGACGCAAAATGTCTTATATGTCAAAAGTCGATAAAACAGCCTTGTTTAGCCCTAAAGTGTGTGAATATGTCCGGGCAGAGGTCTGAGTGGGTGTACAGAAAGAATGATTTGTTCACAAACAGCTGACAGACAGCGTGAGTCAGCTGTTGCCGTTACAACAGCAACACACGTAGTGAAAATATGCCCGGACTTGTCCCGCTCGTCCCGCCCGAGTCTCTCTGACTTTCTATTGCACAGAAACACAACTGAACGAGGCAGACTGAACTCTTTCATCACCACGAGGATAACATGACTTTAACTGCACATCAGTGGAAGATTAATGCGCAGAAACTCTGGTTCAAACAGCTGATGGACTTAAAAAGATTAGAGAGGTTAAACATTTTGCATGTTAAGTGTGTTGATGCCAATGCAAAACTTCCGTCTTGCTGTTTTCACGTGGCAGCTATATCTCTCTTTTTAGGTATATTAAATAAAAAGTTAAGTGTTAAGCTAGTGTTTAATAACGCCTATGACACTAATTTATATAACAACTACAAGTTAGCATGCATAACAACAGCACCTCTGCCTAAAAGCAAACCAGTAAGTCTAACGTTACTCACTCTTGTGAGTTAGCCAGCAGGCTAAAAACACAGTACTCACTTCTAACTTAACGTTAGGTCAGCACAACATTCACGACAACATATAATTTAGGAACAACCCCCAAATTAAATGCAAACGCAGCGGCGTAACAAAAAAAGTTAGTTAACGTTAACCAACTTACAACTTAGCTTAAAGCTAACTTACCTCAAGTCAAACAATTTAGCTAACCTACTATACAAGCCTACAACGAACGTAGAGCCTCAAGTAAAACCTCTTGCAGTGATGATTTTTAGTTTTTCCAAGCTTAATATATTCAGCCTTTTTGTTTTTACCTCGCAACCTTGTCAACAAAGGAGGCCAGCCGGCGACAAACGGCCGCGTCGCTGCTCCTCCGTCCAGGGCTACTCAACCAAGAAAACACGAGGCTCCGCGGCCTGCTAGCACGCTGCTGCAATGCACCTGCTAACTTTGTGCCCCTGCTGTTTGTTACGGCACTAAACACTGGCGTAATTAAATGGAAAGACAATTGTACGTACCTTGGCAGTTACTCTTGATTAAATAATATCCAACAACAGCGTTTCCTGATAGTTGAACTACTAATAGTCGGTCTGTTTACCGTTCAGTGATCCTGCAGACACACGTTCGTGTAGCGCTCCTGCTGGCTGAAACCTGACACTGCAGCCTGAGCTGCTCTACTGGGAGAAGTGTAGAAAGCTACTGGAGTGTGTGGAAACAACACATTATGCAAAATATTTGTTTTTATGTTATGCTATGTATGAATATGTATTGAAAATTAACAATAAAACACATCATTTAGAACAAAAGAGGAAAAACACTCACGGTGGTATTTATAGTTACATGTATGCAGAAAACTCAGTAGCATATTGTTATCTAATCAAACTTCATATTGAATCATCTCAGTTTTAACATATCAGCATCCAAAATGAAACAGAACCATGTTTAAAATTGATATCTTTATAGTATGTGAGTATAATACTTATTTCGTGTGTAGGAAATTGACGTTTATTGCTGTAAAATGTCCTTTTTCATTGTTATTTATGTTCATATATTTGTTAAATGTCTGTTTTATTATAATGTAACACAATACATCACATCTTTGATAAAGTAGAATAGATACTAGCAGGTTAAGTTTCATTAAGTTAAGTTTCGCTTAATCCTATGGGATCATGATTTTGATCAAGAATTGAGCCATGGCTGGTAAATATTGCTGTTTAAAATAACTTCAGACTAAAACAAACAGAAAAGGTCTGTCCTAAGACATGTTTTAGTTCCTGACTCTGGCAAAGTGGAAAAGGAATTTATAAAGGAAAAACTGTAAAAATCCACAAAAACTACTGTATCTCTGAACTCTCTCTTTAACCGAATCACACATTTATCCTGTTCTATGTGATTTCTGTTTGATAACTAATATTTTTTCACTTCAATTCATTGAGCCTCCCCTGAAACTGTTTGGACACCTTCAGTATTTTCCAGCGGGTTTGCTTATTTTATATAATCTATGGTTTCGACCTGTATGACCTATTCTCAGACAACTGGTTATATTTCTTCCCGTCGTTTCCAGCACACCATTCTCCTGGGTATAGTATATATGTCTTCCAGTTTCATTGTTTCTCCCAATACTCCTGCCATACTGGCTGCAAATATGTCTTAGCTTCAGCTTTACAGTTACATGTGCTTGGTTCTGAGTATCCACCTGATCGTTTCCCTCCACACCAACATGAGCAGGAACCCAAAGGAAGCCTTTAGATAAACCCTTCAGTTCTACAATGTACATTATAAGGAATATTTCATTTCATCAGTTCTAAATAACCATCTGCCAGACAGGCCAAAAGGACTGTGGGACATACTGGAAGTTGCTCTGACTAGTACTTCAACTCCTCCTGCTGGATGTTGAGGTCTACACTTGGGACTAATGATAACGTAAACAATGATAAAACATGCACATGTAATCCAATTAACCTAATCTAAGTCTAACATATAACATTTTTCTCTCAAGGCAACCTAACTATCAGTTTTATTCCTGGAAAAACCTGCTTTAAATAAAGTTTACACTAGACCACTACAGGAAACACAGGCTTTTATTTTGCAAAAAAAACAAAATCAAACAAAACAATCTGAAAAGACAGCGATTCAAACACTGCTGTGTGTGTGTGTGTATTTTATTTGTGTGTTCATGGCTGTAACTCGTAGCCCAGCGGGTCGAGTGTTTGGTCCAACAGAGAGAGCGACGACTCCCTCAACTTCTGAAGGAACCTCCTCAGCTCCTCTTTAGAGAAAACCTGAATTTGTGGAGAGAAGAAGGCAGAAAGAAACAAGCGGACCATAAAAAAAACATGACCTGATGAAGAGAGAACCAGCAGACCATCAACATTATCATAGAAAGAAACAAGATCCTCAAAGAAAAGGGGCCAGAATAATCAAACTGTTCACAGAAAAAAGTACAAATCCTTTACTTTTATTCCTATTTGCAAACTTTAGAATAAAAGTATTTTAGCAGATTTCTTGGGATTTAAAAACACTCAACAAATTGCACAGCGTCAGCCCAGTTGTAGTTACCTGGTAGAGGCGGTGTTGGTCTGATGAGATGATGTCAGCGAGGCGCAGCGCCTCCTGGTGTCTGGAGGAGTTCTGCAGCACACTGAGCAGTAAGAAGCTGAGGCGAGGTAGACAGAGAGACCGTAACGCTGCCATCTGGTGGCTGCGCTCTGAATCTGGCTCTGAATCCTGAAAACACAACCAAACAATCTCTTTACCAACCAATCAAATATGCAGACAATCAGTTCCATAAATCATTTAGATAAAAAATAAATACATTCTTATTTTATGAATAACTGGACTAATGGAAAGTACAACAGTTTTAAAATCTTGTAAAGCCCAGACCTCAGGCTAGATTTATCATTCAGGGGTGGGGTGATTTTAACATTAACTACCCAAGTCAGAGATTTTAATCCCGTCCAGCAGACATATGTATTTTTTTCAGCCCATCCCCAGCTAACTGGCTGCAGCTTTATATTAAATTGATCAATATTACAGTGGTATCTTCAGAAAAACAAAAAAAACAATATTCCCAAAATGTCAAACAATTCCTTTAAAAAGGAGCTCCAAGTGCCTAAATGTCACATTAGAGCTTCAGCATTTCAAACCAAAACAAACCTGACCAGACTCCATTGAGAAAAAGAGTAATTTTACCTCACAGATCATTGCACAACACAGGAAAAAAAATTTATATATAAAATGAATATACCAAACCTTGTTTAGTTTTTCCACTGTTCCAACAATCACCAATCCTGATTTGGTGGAAATAAATCCTTAATTCACAGCATGCTTTAGAACATAACTGCCATGAAACAATCCGAACATTTAATTTTCGTGTCCTCTCTACCGCCAATCCCTCTCCCTTACTCACTCATGTTACTCGCTGGTGAAATCTCTCTTTCTCTCGCACTCATTTTACAAGCGAGTCGGGAAACCAACAACAAAGCCTAACTTTGTCTTTAACATTAATATAGAAATGTCTGACCCTTGTCCTACTATCGATACTAGAGCACTTCCTTGTTATTTGAATGAAGTTCCTGAACCTTCAGAAAGTAGAACCCTGAGCCTTTTTTTTAGCACCTGGAGCTACCACACCGGAACTGAATTCAGTCTCAGGTTCCTTCAGTAGAAACACAGGTTTAGTTCGTTTCTCAAAAGGTTCTTGGTCCCCACTGTGTGAGGGGGTTTTGCTAAGGTATGGATTGTGTATATCTCCCGTTCAGGTCACTTGCATGTCGAGAGGCAGAATGACCTAGTCTGTCTCCGTCAGGATATGACGACAGCTGGGCTGATAGAGAAGCACTGTCGTTCAAGGCTCAAGGCTTGCAGAAAAATGCGTTTCTTAAATCTTAGATGTTTACAGACTGACTGTCTCCTATTAAGCCAGGAAAAGATGACCTTGTCTGGGATCCACGATAGACTGAAATGGATAGCAAAGGAATAAATATTGTGGACCATGAGGTAATCTTCAGACCTGCTGATACAGTTTCTTCAGTCTAGCTTCATTAAACAAGGCTGTGAGAGACCTTCCGGGTGTCCTGAGATCTTCGTCTAAGAGTCAACTCGTTCACTAGAAGTTCCTGTGGTGGGAACGCCCTAAATGTATGGATCACGCTTCCTGTCATAAACAGTTACCTGTCTGTTGTCGATCATCCATCCTCCGTCTACGAACAGCAGCACGTTGTATATTCTCTCTTTCACATCTTCAGTTAGAACGTCCAGACGGCACGACCAGGCAGACAGGGACGCCTGACACACACACAAACACACACACACACAAAATGACAAGTGAAACAGCCAAATATAAAGCAAGAACATTTATATAAACAAGTATTTTATTAAATTGCTGTGTTGGTACTGTTAAAAGATTTGAGTACCAGAGACCCTGAATAATATAGTATTCCTCATGCATCTAGATAAGATGTAATGAGTATTTGTTTTAAATGTAAACCATCTATAGACGTAACGTGTGTGTGTGTGTGTGTGTGTGTGTGTGTGTGTGTGTGTGTGTGTGTGTGTGTGTGTGTGTGTGTGTGTGTGTGTGTGTGTGTACCTGGTACTCCTTCTCTCTCATCTCATTGGCTACTCTCTCTGTGAATTTGGCGTCGGGGGCAGGTGCTGGCTTCTGTGGGGCAGAGCTACTGTGGCTGAACCAGTCAGTGAAAGCCTCGTGAGCTTCCTGGGAGACCAACAAATAACACATTCATATCAATAAACCTTGTCAATCCCTGCAGAACAGACTGGAGTAATGCTGCAGCTACAGTGCTATTAGGACTCTATTAGCTCTTTTCCACTACGGGAGCTTAACGATGCAAAACCCAGAGGCCCTTTTTCTACCTGACATTAACATCCAGAGCGTCCCCAGATGCTTCATCTGTTAATTAATGAGGTTTATCTCTTAAAACCTCATGGTGGTGCTAGAGGGATTGATTAAATTTGGCACTGACATTCAAGTCCCCTTCAGGATGATTTATAATAGGTGCGTTCGAGATGACAGCGGCTGACTTTCGCCGACTTGATAGTCTAACGTGAGCTGCAGGTGACTGCAGGGGCGGGGACACTTCTACCTCAGCTTACTGTGAGGTCAATGACTGGTGACGTTTTGCAGCGCTGGTGAAAGTCGGACACAATTTCTAACCAGCATGCATCACGTTAAGTATGAAGTCAAACACACCTAATAACTGTGGAGATTCTTGTCATCTAGGGCCATCTGCTGGTTAAAGTTGTCCAATATTTGTTTATTACCAAAATTAAAGATTTGTGACCCTATTTAAATACTATGTTTGGTAACAACTTTCAAAATAAACCATGGACGTTAAGTAAAATAGAAATTAAAGAAGTCCCTTGGATGAGGGAGGAAACATCTTCTAGTATCTTCAACCAAGTCCAGTTGCCCTTGACTTTAACCTCCGTTGGATAACTATGACCTGGATGACTGAGAATCCTCACAGACATAAGATAAAAATGTTTGCAGTGGCGATAGATCTGAAAATCATCACAGGTTTTTCAAAGTTTAGGTTAGGGGTCGTAAATTTCCTGTATTGGAAGAAATGCCTTATTTGTACTTTTACTGCCACCACTATGTGAACACTACTTCTGATTATTTTTCAATGAACACATCATCATTATTATTATTATTATTATTACTACAGTAGTCATGATAACGACCTAATCGGCCTTGATATAATTTAAAACATTAATACAGAGACAGGCGACAGACCAGGTAGGCTCTGATACACAGGTGTTCTCTGATGGCGTTCTCATCCTCAGCAGGCGGGGGCGCTGTCTGACCGACCCCCGACCACTGGCAGTAAATCTCCCTCATTGAATCCTCTGGAACTTTAGAGAACACCGCCTTGGCTGCGTCGTGTTTCTGCACAGCTGAGAGAGAGAGAGAGAGAGAGAGAGAGAGAGACACGCAGGAGGAGGAAAACAGTGAAGAAGCACATTACAAAAACCGAACATTAAAACCTTCACGTTTGTTAGATTTATTGCAAGACTGTTGTACTAGACTGCACTAGTTTTAGCTAAATAAACAAGTAACTGATACAGAAGATCCTCAGCTGTCAAACTGTTGAATGACATGTGATACTTTCTCAGTTTCCTGAGATATGGGTTTTGTTTCCAACATAATGTGTAAGGTTTATATGTATTCCAATACAGAGTATTATTTTATATTTATTGTGTATTACCAGTCCTGTATTTAGGTGCATCACATACAGTCTGCTCTGCTATTTATTAATTTTAATTATTAACTGGTTGATAGTTAAAATTTTACAATACCAGTAGCAAAATCAGTACCCTTAAAGTGACACCGATACCAATAGAGTACTTCATTCGATACCTTGCACCTGTTGAAGCCATAGTAGTTGATTGGTAGTCTATTAGTTTTTATTGTGGTTATGGAGAAGCAAGGTTATCTATTTTTTTTTTTTTTCTCGTTTCAAATAACTGTTACATAAAAGTAACGGGAAATTGTATCAGATTTCTCCTCATCCTAATTGGTTCATCCTCACAGGCAGTATTATACGGGAAAAGACTACAGCTTGGGAGTTTTATTTAAATATTTTGATACGTGTAAACAACGGAAAATTATTTTGTTAACTTTCAATCAATAAACTGAATTGAAAGATCTCTCTAAGTGCTTTTCCCTTTATTGGTGAGTCGCAAACCTCTAAAAATGACAGTCACAAGTATAAAACAAGAAAGAGTCGGTTAAACAAGTCACTTAACTACACTAAAATCAGCTGATCGCTGCTGCGCCACAAAAGTGTTTGATAAGTGATTGATATGATTGAACGCAGCGATCAATCAGTGACAAGTGATGTCAATAGCAAATACAAATGTACAGAGAAGTGTTAAATGATACCAGAAGATGAAACCAACGGAAAGCCAAGCTTGTGGTGATAAACTTGCAACAGTGACGAACATGCCTGAGCGCAGCACGCCGCTGAAGGTGAGCGGCTGTTAAAATCACGCATGGTGTGTTTCGGTCAATACAATAAAAAGGTACCGAGTAGCGATACCCATCCCTAATAGGCGGGCTCCTCCACTAATATCTTCTGGGAAATATGTTAGTGTGTGTGTTAGTTTTACTATTGTTTGAGGTATTATGTCTGTCTGCATTCGTTCTGACCAATTGTGATTAAAACAATGCAATTTTTGTGTCAATGTACAAACAAGTATTATGAGAAAAATAAACTTAAAACAGACTTTTAGGAAGCTAATCTTTCAAAACATGGCGTTACACGATTCATGAATATTCCTGCAAACTAAACTTGTAATGAATGTCTCTCTCTCTCTCTCTCTCTCTCTCTCTCTCAAGAGTCCCTATATCAGTGACTGCGAGCCAGAAAAGATGGCTGAGACAGTTTTGATGAATAAAAATAATCACATAAATAAACAATAACGTCAAAAAGTACCCAGAAATTTCCTCATGATGGCGTTGGACTGCTTTAGGGCCTCTGCTCGATGGGCGGGGTCAAACAGCAGCCAATCGATAACATCAATCTTCCTTAGGTCCTCCTGTCAGAGCACAGCACAGTAACTCCACCCAGTTCTACTAACACAACAAACTATGATGCTAAACTTCATGCCGGATTTAGTAAACAACAATTAAAGACATTTCTAGTGCATCTAGAGCTGCAATGATTAATCGAATAGTTGTCAACTATTAAATGAAATGCCTTAAATGTGATTATTTTCTGGTTTCGTTCCTTCTCTTCTCTCTTTGAGGACATCATCTTGAGCTTTGACAAACATTTATGACAATGACAATAACCGTTAGTTGCAGCCCTTAGTGCATCTATTTCATAATTTGTGATGTCTTCTAAGCATTCTGAGGCAACAATTGTCACTGTCTTTGATATATTCAGTTATTCTTGTTCCTTTCTATTTCAAGATTAGCTGAAAAGGCACTATGTTTATATACCACTCACCCTTTTCAACCGGTCATTTTTATTTAGTTTTAGTCTTGTTTTCGCAGCGGAAAAAAGGTGCTTAACAAATGTTTGTCTTAGTTTTTGTAGAAAGAATTAGCAGTTTTTATTCTCTACCTTTGTCGTTCCCGTCTCCAGCGTCTGGGGGTGGGGTGTAAACTCTGTATCGTCTCTCTCTCTCACCGTCTCCACCACCATCTTGGTTATCGCAGCGACATCGAGACCTACACACACAAAAACAAACATCCAGTATCATCCCAGTAATATCGTTTGTTGTATTAATAGCCCCAGTTTTATCTGTCTCACCTGCATCAGTGGCGAGCTGCAGGCAGCGGGGCCGGAGCTCCGGCTGGGTGACTGTCTCCAAGAAAGCAGCGTACTGAGCCGTGGCGAGCTCGGCTGGTAGCTGGCTTACGTAGCTCGCCACAAGGTCAGTCTGCTGGTCCTGAATCAAAAGGGAGACGTACGCCTTCAGCACATCCACACACACCTCCTCCTTAAAGAGAGAAAGAGACAAACTGGTCAGCAGACATCAATTTGAACTATTCCTAAATCTGACTGAATAAAACCTCGCTTCTGATTCTCAAACCAGAAAAAATGCCTAGAAACATAAAAATTCTCTCTTTCTAATTTCGAGTCATAGTGAGTCACGTTTCACTTGGGACCTAGTGTAAGAAGCTGTTAAGCTGTTTTCAAGTGGCACTGGCCAGGAAAATAACCGACCACGCTAAGTCACACGTCTCAGAGGCACTGATGTATGACCGGTAGGGGTGCGACGAGCATTGCTGGGGGTAACATGTTACAAAGTAATGCATTACTGTAATCAGATTACATTTGTCTGTAACGCATTACTGTTGATAACTTCAGTAATCACATTACAGTTACTAATAATAAAATCGTCGCATTACTTGCGTACTGCTTCTTCAACTATGCGTATAACTGAAGGAGAGAAAAATAAATCAAACGTCTTTCGGGGGGCGGTTAAATGCACATATTCAAATTACATTACATAAGTTTTTCCTTAGAGTGCCAGTGTCTTATTTTTTTTATTCATGTAAAAAATATATGGTTGGAAGGACAACCTTTTTGAATCCATGTTGTATTGTAATGAAATGTTATTTGACAGTTATTGTGCAGGTGATGTTACGCAGTAATCCGAAAGTAACGTAACTAGTAGTGTAACTAGTTACTTTCAGCACTGAGTAATCTAGTAAAGTAAGGCATTACTTAAAAAAAAAAAGTAACTAGTAATGTGTAATCCATTAAATTTTTTTAGTAATTACCCCAACATTGGTGACGAGACACTTAACCCACGAGACAAGACGAAATTCAAGACTGTTCACTAGATCAAGACGAGATTTTAACACTATTTTTAAGAAGTCTTTAGAGCTGAATTATATAAAAGTTTGAGTTTTAAACACTTTATTTCCTGCATTCTGATGATTTCTTCTGCACCAGTTTATGGTGATTTTTTAAATTTTATTTATGTAAACCTGTTTAGGTGGCAGGTGACAATTAAAAATCTATACCAGAAACTATAACAGAATCTAAATCAGTGCAGCTCTCAGATCTGTTTCTCCTGTAGATCAACTTTTCTCATGTAACATCATCCCTGCTGAGATTTAGTCTTCCCTCCTTTTCTGAGTCTTTGTTTGGGGAAGTAATGTCTTTAAATGTGGCACCTTTTCACCTCAATGATAAATTATTGAATTTTTATTCAGTTAGAAATCCCTGGACTTTATAAGCTCCTGTGTTTCAGCAGCTTTTGTTCAAAACTTTCTGCACATTCAGAATCTCTCACACATCTGTGTGTTCTCTGACAGGTCCAGAAAGAAGACATAATATTAAGAGAATAAAGTCATCATTTGGTGAGAAGTCTAGCTGCCCTTTATTCTGCTGTGCATTCCTTTATTAATCCGCTGGAAGTGACGTTGTCCGTTATCCCATTCAGACAGTTTGACCGACGTAATTTGGGACAGCGTGTTGCACGTGAAACTGAAAGTAACAAACACTTTTGATCAACCAGAAATCTCACCACAGATCCACACGTTAACTTCAGCAGCTCTGATAACGTTCAGCTCACAGTCCCAAACAAAGCAAGGCTACGCTTTAGTTTGTAGATGTTTATGTTGCTAAAACCAGTTCCGTTACCACTCCTCACAGCTGTCCGGACTCGCAGTGCGGTTGATTACTATCAAGGTGTACGCCGGTGTTAGCTCTGCAAGTCCATCTTATAAGTTATACATTTGTATTTCATTGCGTGAGAACATTAATATGTGGCTTGACTGACAGCATGTGAAAAATGTGACGAGATATCTTGTCACAATTTAATCTCGTGTAGGAATATCACATCAGTATCTTTACGCAGTACGTCTGGGCATTCAGACATTGAGCACCAGCTTCTCCTGTCAATTATTGAAATTGTAATGTTAGCTAACATTAGTGTAGCATCCAAAGTGATAATGAAAGTTATAAATAAGATCAATTTAAATTATATCTGTGCTAAAGTACTGGACAAATTAATTCTGACTTTTCTAATGGACCGGAGTCCATGGAAAAACAAGAGGATACAGCTTTATCCTGACGTAATTAATCAGACTAATCTGTCTACTTTACCTTCAGTGCCAAACCCAGGGAGCGGAAAAACAGCACAAGGTGAGTCATGAAACGCAGCAGATGGGAGGGAAGGGGCTTAGAGGCAGACAGCCAATCAGAAAACTCCTCCAACAGACCTGAAGGAGACAAAGAGTCAGAGGTTAAGGTTTAGGGATAGGAGTTATCATCTTAGGGTAAGGTGCGTTTGCCAGAGGAATGTGATTCCTCTTGGCGGAAGGTATAGGGGGGGGGTTACCGTCCAGGTCTCCTAGGATGACAAACTTCTGGATGACGTGGTAATGCTCTCTGGTTTCCTCCAAAACCCTCTGCGCACACACAAAAAAAAAAACAACTACATTTAAGGTGGGTTCAGTCATGTGACATTCACCTCTCACATTCAGTTAGTGAGTCTCACCTTTGACTCAGAGGCTTGAAGTTCCTCAAAGACCTTTTCCATGGTCCAACTGAGGCGAGAGAGAGAGACAGTAAAATGATCAGGGAGATATTCGGCGTGTCTTTATTCTCTATGTAGGTTCATCTATAGCAGCCTGGATGGTCTTGTCACATTAAAAACATGTAATAAATTTCTACAAATTGAAAGCTGTTCTCTTTAAAAGAGGCAGCTCCACTTCCATCTAGTAAAAGACTATTTATTCAGGAGAAACTTTCCAGTCAGTACAGCTGTGACTGTATATTTCTGCACGTGTCGTACTTGGCCTCCAGGTATTCTCGAGGCAGCGTCTCCACTTCCTGGTGGGCCATTCCCGATGACATCAGATCCTTTTCAACCAGGGAGTCGACCATCACTCTGAAGTGCGCCCACACGCAGTCCTCCCATGATTCACACACTGCCAGGAGCTAAGACATCGAGGATAGTTTTTATGACCTACTGTCAAGTCAAACTGAACTGACAGCAAAAGCAGAGATGTTTGTGTTGCTAAGAGTTTACAGCCACACAAGCAGATCTGTGAGGCTGAACTCTTAACTGAAGCTAAATGCCAACATCCTTGCAATGACGACGCTAACGTGATGAAGTTTAACAGGTGTAACATTTACTAAGTTTAATCATCTTAGTCTGTTAGCATTTTCATATTTTCTGAATAACACTATTACAGTTCAACTTGAGGGCAGCATGACTGTGTTTACTAAAATTCCACCTTATGGTGGCGCCAGAGAGAAGTAAGAGGATCATCAAAGTCTGCAGGATTCATCCTCTGGGCACCATGACTGAAATTTCATTGCAGTCCATCTAATGGCTGTTCAGAGATTTTAGTCTGGACCAAACTGGCTGACATTGCCATCCATAGAGTCACCCACAGCGCATTTGCTGCTTCTCTGTTTTATATTACTGCCTTTGCGTTTTAGACTGTTGGTCAGATGTCATTTTGGACTCTGGGATATTACTATGGAAGATTTTCACTATGTCTCTGCACTTTTTAGAAAAAACAGTTAATAGATTAATCTAAATATTTGCCAGATTAATTGAAAATTAAAATAATTATTAGTTGCAGCACTAAAAGTGGATTAGATACAGAATTCAGATGTGATAAAATGCTATTAACCCCAACCCTAAGAGTAACACGGCTCTATTGTGACCCTGCTCCGAGATGGACAAATCTCTCCCATCATTAACCGAGAACCACTGAGGCAAACACAGCAGCATATATATACACAAACAGAATCACACATGAAGACACAGACATACAAACTAATTATATTACCGGTTTGAGGTTTCCACTCAGGCAGGCGTAGATTGCTCTCTCATATCTGTTTAACTGCTCCTAAAACAGACAAACACACACAGCAGGTGGGTAAATTTTATGATGTTTTATTTATATTCCTTATTTAGTCTTTTCAGAAAATGTGCCATTTCCTGCAGGACAACAGTTCCTGTGTCAAACAAACTCACGCTGTTTAATTAACTGGTCCTGGACACCAGTTCAACACAGTAATGTAATGTCCCAATCATTTTACTGTCTGTTCCACCACACAGACAGTGGCTATTTTATTTGGAAGAGGTTTCCTAGTGGTTACAAGGCCACAGACTGGAGCCTCTACAGTTAATCATGTAATTAATATTTTATTTGCGCACTGTAAACAGCAGTGTGTCCCCTATATGCATTCAGGAGCGGCGGTGTGCCACTGCTGAAGTATGACTGCCGCTACTAAACTTTCCCACAATCATTATTATATTAATGCACTACTAATTTTCACTCACACACACTATGAGAGCACAGTAAGACTCATCGCTCGGCTCATTTCCTCTCCTCGTTCTTCAAAGGACATCTACGTGATAGGTGTTGTTATAAGAGCAAAGTAACTCCTTATCGGGAGGCGCGAAGCGAGTGTTTGATTGTCCGAGCGGCAGAAAGTTGTGAACGTGAGCGGAGGAAAATATTCTGGCAGTGAATGTACTGTGTTGGTTACGGTGTGGCGGCTTCATAAGACCAAGAAAAGTCCGTCTGTTGTTTCCCCAACTGCTGGAAAAGTGAAGCCTGTTTGCGCTAGCTCCCCTTCAGACTGCGCAGCTGAGCAGGAAAGCTTCAACAGCAGGCTGCGTCTTTTGGCTGCTATGTAATTTAACATTAGCTCTATAGAAAGTAACTGGTATTTTATTACTGCCTACTTGTCCAATGTTGAGAACATAAGGTACAAACTTAGACTAAACTTGTGCAACCTGCAGCTCTGTCCTGTCCAGACTGATTCATCCTAAACTATTTTCCAGATGAGACTGAAAAAGTGGTTGTTAGGAAAAGAAAGTACGGAGGTGACCGGAGGAGCTGAGGTTAGTAAAGCAAATTAGTGATGCAAACTAGTCCTTTTAAGCTAACGAGGAGATGTTTCCTTTAAGATTTTAATGTGCAAATAAAATGCACCTCAGAAGGGAGGTGGTTTTTTAAGTTGCCTATTTTTTTTTATAGCCTATTGTCTGTACAGTTAAATGCCAAAAAGGTGTAAAATGAAGTAACAAAAGGCAAACATGAACAATCACATCTATAATTATTATCTATGGAGGTCATATTAACAGGGTTTTAGGGGGAGATGCCCAAAACATGCTGAGCCATAAATGTAAAATCACTTTGGAGAGCATCATAACAAATCAAATAACTTTCCCCAAATCTAACGGTTGTAGCTCCTCCCCAGTAGGCTGGTCTTTGGGTGTTGGTTATTTATTATCTGCTCTAGCTTTAACTCTTTGTTCAGAGATATGGTGAAAATAATGGCCCAATATGATGTGAAATTACATATTTTTCATAGGAAAATGTGAAAAATTTAAAGGAACCCCAAACTTCTCCACCCCCTGTGTGTGTGTTGTACCTCCTCAGCCATTCTCCAGCAGCAGGCCTTCCAGATTCCTCTGTGAGGATTTCCTTCGACAGGCTGCAACTCTGTACTGCCTGAGGGGAGAACAGAAAGAGATAGTCACGTAAAGAGCGACAGTGGACACAGAAATGTTGTGGGACAAGCAAATTTTTAGACCCAAACAGTCTAGTAGCAGAGGCAGAGCTGCAGTGTGAAGGCGATTGTTTTTTTTTTTTTAAATACTGAAATAGTAATTTGAAGGAGAATCACAATATAGGCTATTTTAATTATAAATTACATAACGAATGGTTTTCTTAAGCCCTATTTGAGCGAGATCAACATTACAGGGGGAGGTGGCTGTGTCAATTGTGAAATTACAAGATATGGTCGGTAACAGGAATGGACATTCAACAGGCGGCACGGGAGAGTTGAAGGGGAGGCGTAGAGGGAGAGTCATAAAGCAAAGATACTGCATGAGGTGAATTTGAGTTCTAAAAAAAATATATATCGTACATGAAAATTATTGACATCATTCAGTAGGATTTACACTTCCCAGAGGACATCATTACCTATAAAACGTCCACAAATCCGCTCAGAAATCACAATAAGACAGAGCTTGGCTGAGAATCACATTTTTAAGTTTTCTTCAGTATCAAAGTAATCCAGTGATAGTTGTCTGTATTTCCACGGGTACGCTGCAAACAGGAAGGGCTAATAGCTAATTTGGCATACTTTTGATGGTGCTAATATGCTAAAATGTAAACAAATATAAGCTAAAACAGGAGGTAACTGCAGCTGTCCGCGTTTCTGGGACAAAGGTGAAAAATGCCCCACATACGAGACAGGATTAAAACCCCTGACCAGTACAGGTAATGTGAACATCACGCCACCTCTCCTAGACAAATAGATCCAGTCTGAATAAGGCTTTAAACTGTAGGTGAAAGTTTTAGTCAACGACACAATTTAATCAAAATGAATTAACTAGTTATTGCTGAGGGTTGGCTGAATACCTAAATAGAAACTCTTTGTTGGTGTCGGTTGGTTAATAGTCAGGTTTTTTAGTATCACCATGAGATTTACTTGCACACTTACAGACTCTCACTCACGTGACATTGGGGTCAGATATTACCTGAGGTCATGTTGGGATCATGGTAAAGTTTCCAGCCTTCTAGAGTTGCTGCTCTCCAGGCCTGACCACAGCGCTTACACAGCCTCTGAGCCTACACACACACACACACACACACAGTGGTTAACCCAAAAAAACAATCATCATTTTGAACCCACAGCACCCCTGCAGTAATTTTCTCTACCAATGCACCCCTTCATGCAAGTAATTATTGAATTAAAACATCTTTTGTTAGACTGTTTTAGGATGTTTCAGCACGTCTTTGAGCTCGTATTAAAACAACAGGCAGGTGCTGCACATCTGGACAAACCTCAAAAGACAAAACTAAAACTACCTGCCTGGCTTGATGCCAGTAGGGGTTAGTGGTAAAACATTTTTGGGGGTTTTCTGTCCCTTTAAACACAATGAGATCCCAAATGTGTGTCTCTCTCTCTCGCTCTCTACCTCCTCGGTCATCCCCGCTCTGATCAGGGTAAACAGGTTCTTCAGCAGTCGGGCGTCGTCCTCTCTGTCCAGGTCAGCCAGGGGGCGCTGCTGCCGGAGAGGAGCGTCTGGGTCCTGAACACACACGAACACACATTATCTGTGTTATTTAGAAACACTAGGGGTGAGCATCTGTTTGTTGCAGTGGACTCACCAGCTCTGTGACCAGAGGAACAGTAAAGGCAGAGCCGCTCTTCCTCCTCAGCTTCAGTGCATGGAGGGTGTTCTCCCTGAGACACAAACACACATTTTACTAAAGCAGGAACTCCCTGATGATCTAAATACACACCACTCTGGACTTGATATTTAAAAACACACAGTAAAATTGGGAACTCACCAGCAGACGTTTTTGGCGTAGTATTCTATGTTATCAGAAAAATCTCCAATCTGATCCTTGGCAATGCTCTCCAGCCAATCAACAACCAGCTGCAACACAGTGACTAGACAGTAAACAACTAGCAATGACGGCAAAAACAAAAGCAGTTTCCTCCAGTTACATCATGTTGTCTCATAACTCTGATCGAGAATGACCCGATTCATTTTATTCATTCAATCCGTTCTTAACTGACGGTGTTCGTATGTGTGCGTGGGTTTGTTACCTGACTCTGTCGTATGGCAGCATCCCGCTGAAAGAGCTGCTCCACCACGATTTTCTCGCTCTCACTGGGAACCTACACAGAAGGACGCAAACAAGACTTAAACTTTACAGCTCACGGAAGCATCTGATTCATGCTTTTGGCTGGTGTATTGAGACCCAAAACAAGAAAGCTGTGTGTGTGTGTGTTGGAATTGCTTCAGGTAAAGACAATCACAGAAGCGAATTAGCAGATGTTTTTTTAGAGAGCCTGCAATATTGCCATAAAGAAGAGCGGTCATTACTCTTTGCTTTGCTTTTTTACACTGAACCAAACAACGGCAGTTTAATCCTGCTACAGTGACACAACATAGGCATATTCGACTCGGCTCACTTCTGATATCTCTACTTAGTATTTCAATGCAGATGCTTAATGTAGGTGGAGCTGTTGGGAAACTACACACAGGAGCTTCGAGGCACACACAAAAAGTTGCTTAAATCATTGGCAGACCATTTTTGTTACTTGCTTTGAATTTCTTCTACTTGCTTCTTTTCCAATGAATGTATTATGTTGTTACAGATAGTAGCTTTTATTTATTTTTTATATCTTATGACATAGCCTTTGGTGGGAAAAATAAATACTAAATAAATGATCATGTTAATCTGTAACTGCTGGATGTGTAAAAGTGCCAAAAAAGATCAGTCATTGCAGGTTTAAGACTGTTTGGCAGTGTGTTTGAATGTTAGCTGCCTGCAGCCTGCAGTCTGTCACTCACAACCATGTCTGTCATGATGTCATCTTCCAGCGCCAACTGGACCCGATCCCTGCAGAAACAGACAGGTGATCAATCAGAGACAAGTACACAGTCAGTCAGACAGGCAGGTGGTCCTTCAGTCGGACAGGTACCTGTACAGTGAGGTGATGAGTCTCCAGGAGCAGTTCTCCTGCTGCAGCAGCCAGCGGACTCCTGCTGTTTTACTGTTCTGACCCGCTCTGAGGACCACAGACTGCAGCACATCCACCTTAAATACAGTGATGGAGAGACGGTGAGTAACTAAACTGAGCATTCGACTGTGCTAGTAGACGTATTTTTATGAACTTTAGACAGAGCCAAGTTTGTTGTTTCCTCATTTTTCTAGTCTCTATGCTAATCTTAGCTTAACGTGTCCTTACTCAAGCTTCGTACTTAAAGGAACAGCTCAACATTTTCGGAAATTCACTTAAATGAGAAGGTTGATGCCACTCATGTCTGTACAATATGAACCTACAGCTTGCATTCGGTTAGTTTAGCTTAGCACAAAGCCTAGAAACAGTTAGCCTGGCTCTGTTAAAAAGGTAACAAAATCCAACCACCAACACCTCTAAAAATCCCTAATTAACACGTTATATCTTGTTTGTTTAATACGAACAAAAAGTTCAACGTAAAACAGGGTTGCCAGTTGCCAGGCAGACTCCAGGAAGTTACTGCTCCCAGCCAAGAAATAGTCCCATGCATAACACTTCGGGTTTCTGTATGTGTTAAATGTCTTGATTAGTGAGCTTTAGAGGTGCTGGTAGCAAACCAAAGCCTACCTTGTCCTGGCAGAGCGCCTGGTAATCCTCAAGCAGCTCAAACACAGCAGACGAAGAGTGTTTCAGAAAGGACCCAAGGAACTCTGGGAAAAGACTGGCAGCCGCTGGAAAAAATATCAAAAACTACAGTGTTAGCAAGAGTACTGTAAACTAACACTGCAGAGTAACAGAGTGAGCTCGGGTGCGTTTGTTTCACTCACCGGCCTCGCCTGGGTCGTCCTCCTTTAGTAGGGCTGAGCTAAGGTTGGCGATGTCATCTGTGAAGAAGCTGGTGTTTTCCAAGCCCGAAACAGGAGAGACATACATGCTGTTGGTCCAATCACTGTCATCCAAGTTCTAGACACATACCAACAATTTAGAGAGAATAACGGATTTAAGTTAATAATGGAGTTTCACGCAACTTCTCACATTTTATGCCATGATTGACAGATTTGTGGTTGTACGACACTCATGAAAGAATCACTAGTACGAACAGATATTTTCTTAAGATGCACATAAGAGTGATGTAAAGGTGGTCTGCTTCTCTTCACAGGGGAAAATCTTTTCCGACAGCTGGCTCAGTGTCTTTATGCAGATCTTTGTCAACATCTGTTGCACCCAACATTTAAATCTGATTTGGGCCACTTCTGCCTGCAGTATGAACACAGACTTACACTCAAACTTAAAACAGAAAATAAGTAAGAGATAAGAAGAAAAACATGTTCAGGTCCAATGAGAGTGTTTGTTTCTCACCATACTGCTGAGCGCATGTCTGGGTGTATGCGTGTATCGAGGTGTTCGACCTCCTGGAGCCAAAATGGAGGAAACATCTGGAATCCTTGGAGTTACTGAAGAGAGAGAGAGAGAGATATGAGGTGAGAGAGGGGATTCAGTAAAATAAGGATAATTAATAATTAGCTTGAAATCAGGCTTAATATCAGCCGATGTTGATTACGATATTTGTGAGTGTCCTACCGGCCTGTCTGTACAGTGAAGCAGGAGTGTTCCTCAGCAGGGAGCGGGCTGGTG